TAAAATTATTCATTTAGCCAAATATTCATTAATTCTAATTTGTTTGAACAAATTTGCATTTAACAGAACTTCCATTTAGTCGAATTTTCATTATGGATAATTCGTTTTAAATAATTTTTTATTTTGAACGAATTTGCATTTAACAGAAATTCTATTTAGCCGAATTTTTTAAAATCAAAATTAATCTAAATGCCCAATTTTTGATTAAAAAAAAGAAATTCGATAAAATAGTAATTCTGACTTTAAAAAAATCGGTTCAATTCAGTTAAATAAATTTCTGCTAAATGAGAATTCGTTCAAAAAAAAATTATGTTTAATGACACGATTAAATAAAAATTCTTTGAGATGAAAATTCTGTTTAATTTATTTTCTAATTTATAAAATATTTATCCGAACTTCGAACAAATTGCGGACTTGAATTTTTATTTAGCCAAATTCTAATTTAACCGAAATTCTAATTAAGATTATTCATTTAGCCAAATATTCATTAATTCTAATTAGTTTGAGCAAATTTGCATTTCACAGAACTTCCATTTAGTCGAATTTTCAATAAGGATAATTCGTTTTAAATAATTTTTTATTTTGAACGAATTTGCATTTAACAGAAATTCTATTTAGCCGAATTTTTTAAAATCAAAATTAATCTAAATGCCCAATTTTTGATTAAAAAAAAGAAATTCGATAAAATAGTAATTCTGACTTTAAAAAAATCGGTTCAATTCAGTTAAATAAATTTCTGCTAAATGAGAATTCGTTCAAAAAAAAATTATGTTTAATGACACGATTAAATAAAAATTCTTTGAGATGAAAATTCTGTTTAATTTATTTTCTAATTTATAGAATATTTATCCGAACTTCGAACAAATTGCGGACTTGAATTTTTATTTAGCCAAATTCTAATTTAACCGAAATTCTAATTAAGATTATTCATTTAGCCAAATATTCATTAATTCTAATTAGTTTGAGCAAATTTGCATTTCACAGAACTTCCATTTAGTCGAATTTTCAATAAGGATAATTCGTTTTAAATAATTTTTTATTTTGAACGAATTTGCATTTAACAGAAATTCTATTTAGCCGAATTTTTTAAAATCAAAATTAATCTAAATGCCCAATTTTTGACAAAAAAAAGAAATTCGTTAAAATAATAATTCTGAACTTTAAAAAAATCGGTTCAATTCAGTTAAATAAATTTCTGCTAAATGAGAATTCGTTCAAAAAAAATTATGTTTAATGACACGAATAAATAAAAATCCATTGATATGAAAATTCTGTTTAATTTATTTTCTAATTTATAAAATATTTATCCGAACTTCGAACAAATTGCGGACTCGAATTTTTATTTAGCCGAATTCTAATTTAACCGAAATTCAAATTAAAATTATTCATTTAGCCAAATATTGATTAATTCTAATTAGTTTAAAAAAATTGCATTTAATAGAAATATCATTTAACTGAAAATCTATTCAGCTAAATGGGATTTTGTTCAAAAAAAAATTATGTTTAATGAAAATACGATTAAATAGAAATTCTGTTATTATTTCAATTAAAATTTCAATTAAATAAAATATTTAACTTTATAAAATTCGATATTAAATAGAAATCAATTTCAATAATCAGTTAATCAATTTTGTTGAGAATTTTTGAAATAAATTAATTTTTCATTTATTTTATTATTTGATAATAGTTTTGTAAAATAAAATTTCGAACAAAATACACTGAATTGGAAATTTTTCCTATTAAAAAATTCGTCTGATTAAAAATTAAATTAAATGAAAATATATTTAAATAAAAATTTACAATTAATATTAAAATCAAAAATAAAATTAAAAATAAAATTTGAAAATGAATTTGAAAAAAAAGTTAGATAAATAAAAAATTCAGTTAAATAATTATTGATCGCCTAGAAAATAATGTAATTGAATATGCGATCAGGGAAAAAAAGTCAATAGACATAACATTTTCCAGTACTATAGCACATCAATCTTAAGTCAACGAAAAGAGATGACGAATTTCCCCTAAAATTAAATTCACATGTCAAATGAAATATAATCTTTCTGCACATTTCTGTCCTTTTTGAAAGAATTATTATGCAATTACGTCCGTCACGGTACTCAACTGATTTTCTACCCCTCTAAATATATGCTCGCACTCAAATATATATATATAGGAGAAAGAAAAGCTTTTGAAAATCAATTGCCAGAGAGCATTTGTGTGTTTCAGAGCCGAAAATATATATCTCGTATATTTGTGTTTCTCCGATGGCCACAAATGTAAACGTGACATGTTAAACTTAGGTTTCTAGATCCTATAATGATATACGTCTGTTAAAAGTTATTTTGAAGGGAATTCCCTCGAAAATACATATACACATACAGAAGAGATAACATTGAATTCGAAATTTACGAATGCATTGAATTGTCATCGAATAGTGTGAAGAAAGAGAGGTCGAATAGAATCAATATATATATATATATAGTTTGAGAGCGTGAGTCATATCCATTTCATTGACATTAACTCGCTCACACATATATACATTCTGACTCTCGCTTCTTGTCGACGACTCCCTTTAACATGTCGTGTTTGGTCCGAACGACGTTTCAGTTCATTGCGCAAACGCCTTCTTATGAGCGAATGTACCCAGCTAATGAATCTGATATCTCCATAGATGTCTATATGTATATGTAAAACGCAACGAGATGAAAGAGAGAGAAAATATCAACAATGTTACGGTAATAGACTGGCAGAGTTACTGATCTGCATTCATTATCAGAAGCAGCGCGGCGCTTATATACAAAATCGACAACAAAAAAAAAAAAAACATCGACATCACACGCATCAAATATACATACATCTTACAAACGCCTCGATGACGCCGATAATAAATTTCAATCCTCTTAAGCAATAATATATCACTTACATTAATATATACTATTAATTGTTAATCATTTCAACCTGTTCTACTTGAACCCATTATTTTTTTTCGCCAAGAAAAATATGGTAATGTTCATATACTGCGTGAAGTTATTCGCCGTTATAGAAATTAATTCCAAGTAAATTTGCTTGCTTTTAGTACATGAGAATCCTTTGTTAATTTTCAAACGAGAGTGCTTTTATGAGGGTCAAAGTCTAATAGACCTCGCACTGTCGGCAAATTTTCAGAGTGGAATGTTCAATCCCATTTAAGAGAAATTTACTTCAATATATAGAAGAGATAGAGATGCAGGAAAATAAATCAAAGAGATGTGCGCATACAGCAGATGCACTACTGTTTGGATTATAATGCACGAAATGCATATATAAATCTTGTACGATTCGATTTAGCAAAACTTGTTCAGAGAGAGAGAGAGAGATATGACAAATCGCGATGAGCAAGTTGGCAAAATCAGACATGTCCTCCAAAATCAATCAAAATCCCTGTCATCGTTGTCCATGTCACGTCACCAAAAGAATTGAAATTTATTACTAAATAGCAAACATTTTAATTAACAATGTATTCAAATTATTTCATTGAAATTTTTTCCCATCGCTTTTTTTTCCTAAACAAACCAAATCTTTTTCATATATAGCAACAAGTGGAAAAAAAAATTTCCCTTTTTTATTAACTATATGTATATAGACAGTAGTTATGTAGATCGAGAAAATAAAAAAGAAATTGGAAACTGTGTGCGTGTATATAATAATCACAAATAAATTTAAACATTTTGTCCCCTATATAGTGATTAACGACATTCACTTGAGCTTTAGGAATTAAAATGAATGTACCTTTCAATGAAACAAACGAGAAATTATCTCGCCACAGGATAATAAACTCTCTTGTCGGTCGCAGCTACGTCATACGAAAATATGTATATATCATAACTATATATATATATTACTAACACCGGTAAATATTGTAACAATTGAAATATACTGAACGACAAGCAATGTTAGAGTGCAAAATATCGGTCATATCAGTCTATCTCTGATAAATGTAACCTTTAATTATTATTATATGTATTACAAATTCACCGCTATAAATTTCAAGACGTTGATAATTAAATATTTTTTTTTTTCGAATAATTTTGCTCTAGATTTTTTTTTACTGTGTTCTAGAATTCATAATTTATTCTGGAATTCATTTTTTTTTTAAACTACCTGACAGATTTACAATCGAAGTTGTATAAAGTATCATTTATATTGAAAATAAACAAATTACAATTTTCTAGCGAATTATAATAAAAAAAATAAAATATATTTGTTATACAATTAAAGTGAAGATAAAAAAAATAAATTCGAATAAAAAATTGATTTCTATTTTCACAGTAAAATAGGAGTAAAATTATCCAGTAAACATATATAATTATGTAGTAAATCAATAATTATTAAAAATGTATATAAATAATAATAAATTAATCATTTTTAATAAATAAATAATATAAGAAATATTTTTAAAGATTTCTGAAAAAAATAAATGATTAATACCATGGTAGTCCCAGTTTCCGTTCACTGTAATTTTGAAGATAACATTTTAAAAAAAAAATTATTTTCTTTTATTTGTTTACTTCAACTAATAAGTCCATTGCATGTCAAAAAAAAAGAATAAAATATTGTTGAAAAATAATTTAAATTATTATTTGTAAAAATAAACGGCTAACGGAAACTGGGACAACGACGGTGGTAAAAAAGAAAAATTATTGCTCACCACGATGAATCAACTGAAAATAATAATTAATTAAACAAATAAACAAAATAATATTTAATATTAAATTATAGGGGAAAAATTTGAGACAATATTCGCGATTTCCCTACCTATAGCTATATATATTTAAAACGAAAAAAATTTTTACTTTGTATACCGAAAAAAAATTCCATTACAAAATTTCCGATTTCCCTACCTACAGCTATATTTAAAACGAAAAATTGATTATATTTAAAAAAAAATTTTTTTGTCAAAATCAACGCATTAACTATATATGTCTCAAATAGGGATAAGGGATTAAATAAAAAAAACGACTCACCGATCGGCGAACCCACGTTGAAGCAATGACAACATTGCCCCTACCTTGGCTTCTTCTTGGGCCACCCCCGAGATCCCTGTTTGTTTCATGCACTTCTGCACAGGTCGGGAGCTATGTGCCATGCAATAAATAAAATATAAAAAAATAGACTACATTTTGAAAAAAATGGCAACATACTGGGGCCACTTTTCTTCGTCCACATCCTTCCTGTCCTTCCAGATTATTGAACTGAAAAATAAAAAAAAAATAAAATAAATTACACAATTGTTGCGGATATGCAAAAAATTATCTTTAGGATTTTAAAAACTATTATTTTATTATTAATTACAAAAGAAATTTCTAAACTGAATTTCGGTAATTTTCAAATTTTTATTTATATAAAATTAAAATGAAAAAAAGACTCACCACTATTTATTTTTTCTTAGTGATTTTGAGATACGATAACACCATGATAATATCCTCTCTTTAAAATCATCTCTCTCGTGGACCAACTGCCTGAAAAATTGAAAAAAATGTGTTTTATTATTATAAAGTATATTTTACTTTGGTGATTTAAATGCAAAAACTGCTTTTACATTGTATTGAACTTAAATGTTTTTTTAAATAATTAAAATTTTCTGAATATTTAATAAATTATAGAAAATTAATTAGATTCAGTAATAAAATCCTAATATTAGAAAACAAATTTTAAAAATAAATCAACATACATTCAACTGCGACTCAGCTATGCCAGATCTTCTCCAGGAGCAGCTCCGCAACAAACACCCATCCTTCAAAGAAACGGACATCTGGAAAATAAAAAAAAAAATATTTTTAAACAATTGTTAAGTTACAAAATTAATTTTTACCGTTCGTAATAAAATTACTATTTATTTGCCCTAAACAAAATTCCATTAATTTCTTTTTCTCAACGAAAATATACAATCTCTATATGGTAAAAAATCATTCTCCAGCTTTTTCCGCACAATTTTTTTTTAATTTTTTCAGATTTCTCGAAAGCGTATCTAAACTCTGAAGTGTGTCACACATTATTCATTTTATCAGACTTTCTTATACACATACACAGTAATGGTATTAAAATAAAACGAGATCGTTAATTAATAAAATATTTTGTTTAAATCTGAAAATCTATAAATGTTCAAATTTAAATATTAAATTCTATATAAACATGAACGCCAGTATATTTCTCATAAAATCCAAATATATTTCCTCATGATAGAAGCATATATAACATTACTGGTGAATAATATACGCCTCTCTTATATTTTATTACTCCACGATAATGATTTCATTAGGCGAAGTGTCTATTTAAATAGTTTCATAAACCAATAAAATAATCTCTCTCGCCAATAAAACATTCTTGAATTTCAAAAATGAAAAAAAAACCTACCTAAATTGTTTAAAAAAAAAAAAAAAAAAAAAACAGCGATCATAAAAAAAGTTCATAAAATAAAAATTGCACTCCGTAAAAAAAAAAAGTTCATAACCATGAAAATCATGATTAATTTTTAAGAGAATGTAAACTTCTTGTTAAAAGCTTTTATCTTTAAACGATAAATTCGAGGTTTGCCGATCGTGCGAATATTCTAATTGGATATATAGAATAGAGCTCGCTTAGGAAGTCAACTCGATGGATCGATAGATCGACTCTATATAGTTGAATGAGCTCAAAAATGGAGTCTCGCCCACGCCTCTCTTAGGCTATTAACGCTCTCGAATGTAATTCATAGTAGCTAAGGCCAGCGGAAGAATCTGGGACATAGAACCGTCTGTGTATGTGTATGTGTTGGTGCGGTTCTAAGCCCCTGGCCAATAAATCGAGGCATTATCGATATCGCGCTAGCCGCCGCCGTTGGAGAAAGCGTTCAGCATTTGCATTGAAAAAGAGGAAGGGGAGACAAAGGCAAAGGCACGGAATAAACCTTAAACCGGACTAAGCTAATTAAGGCTGCGAGTTCCCAACTCTCAACGTGTGCATATACATAAGTAACCCAAAGGTGGATTCTTTTTTCCTAGTCGAGTATATATATATATACACAAGAGCGCGAGACCCAATCTTTTACATATCAACGACTCAGGAAACTATATTCCACATGAAAGTACACGTAAACACGAAAGTTAAACTTTTTTTTTTTTTTTTTTTGCTACACTCGAAATCATTTAGAATCTATTGGGTGACATGTTTCATGTAACGACTTTTTCCTTTTTTCCAATCACGAAATAGAAAATCATTCAGAAAACTGATTCTTAATTCGATAATATATTGGGATGTAACATATTCGCTGTAGGCCAATTGTTCTACATCAATAGAACATTGTGTATATACCAAGAACGAAAGGTATACTGCAAAACTATAAAAATAGTGCAGAAAATTGTATTTTTTTGCACAGTGTGCAACAAAGTTATAAAAAACAGTGCAGAAAAGTCTATTTTCCAGCACTATTTTTATATTTTTCTGTATACTATACAAAAAAGTATACTTTTCAGCACTGCTTTTATAGTTTTGCATAGTATACAGCAAAACTATAAAAAACAGTGCGGAAAAATATACTTTTCTGCATAGTATCCAGCAAAGTATATTTTTCTGCATAGTATCCAGAAAAGTATGTTTTTCTACACAGTATACAGCAAAGTATGTTTTTCTGCATAGTGTACAGCGAAACAATAAAAAAAACAGTGCGAGAAAATATACTTTTCTGCATAGTATCCAGCAAAGTATGTTTTTCTGCATAGTATCCAGCAAAGTATGTTTTTCTGCATAGTATCCAGGAAAGTATGTTTTTCTACACAGTATACAGCAAAGTATGTTTTTCTACACAGTATACAGCAAAGTATGTTTTTCTGCATAGTATACAGCAAAAAAACAGTGCGGAAAAATATACTTTTCTGCATAGTGTACAGCAAAACCATAAAAAAACAGTGCGGAAAAATATACTTTTCTGCATAGTGTACTGCAAAACCATAAAAAAACAGTGCGAAAAAATATACTTTTCTGCATAGTGTACAGCGAAACCATAAAAAAAACAGTGCGAGAAAATATTCTTTTCCGCATAGTATCCAGGAAAGTATGTTGTTCTGCATAGTATCCAGGAAAGTATGTTTTTCTACACAGTATACAGCAAAGTATGTTTTTCTGCATAGTATACAGCAAAAAAACAGTGCGGAAAAATATACTTTTCTGCATAGTGTACAGCGAAACCATAAAAAAACAGTGCGAGAAAATATTCTTTTCCGCATAGTATCCAGGAAAGTATGTTTTTCTAGACAGTATACAGCAAAACCATCAAAAACAGTGCGAAAAATTATACTTTTCTGCATAGTATACAGTATATCTATACAAAAGCAGTGTAGGGAAGTATACTTTTTTGCATAGTACGCAGCAAAGTTTGTTCTGCATTTACATTTCCTTGCATATGTTAAAAAAAAGAATATACTTCTAAATTACTCTAAAATAGAATTATAGCAAAAAAATAATAATACAAAAACAAAACTCTCAATTCACCAACAGAGAATTTCTATATACCACACAAACGGTTGTGTCTTAATCGAAGGAGTTGCGAGGTTAAATGAAATTTCATTGATGGTAATTTAGAAACTATGTATAGCCATAAAATCATATCGATAGTCAGTCTTAAGTACCCTTTAATCATGTTTTATAGCTTTGAGAAATTCTAAACACTCAAAAAGAGCGAAATTTATACAGAGATCTTCATATTTGGAATTCTCATAAATATTTAAGTGCATAAAGTACACATAGCCAGTCATCAAAAGTCAAGTCTGGACTTCCGTTCGACATATTCCGCGGCTGGGCGAAACTTTTAATTACCAACCATGAATCATGGTCGCCTATATATGGGCTTATATGTATCTGGCAAAATTCTGTTACTTGTGCGGATTTAGACATAGCTGTATATATGCGGGATTTTAATTATAATTTCGAGGCATGGATCGCGTTCGTCCCACTTTGGTATGCAATCACGATATTTATTAGCGAAACCGTTACCTCATTCCGCGCGGGAGTATATATTTATATATATATATTTAAGAGGAATCTCTTCCTCTCTTATGGGCTATTTTACAGCTCCAGGTGAAATTCATAGGAGATTGCATGAATTCATGCGACTTATGGCTGTATAAGAAAACAAGTCGTAGAAAGCATGCGTGACATGCACCTGTCACGCGTGTAGAATAATAACCTACCTACGGGTATCTAAGTATATATACACACCTTTGACGGATCAGCAAAACGAGCCAAAGGTTTGAATATTTTAACCATTTGTGTCCTTGCGAATATGATCATCAGATTCTTATAAGGAATTAATTGTGACTTGAATGGAAAAAGGGTATTACGATACCTGCAGCTGAGAGAAAAATTAACACATAATTGATAATAAATTCCTCCATTTGAGATTTATTCGACTCTCTATGATATGGAATGTGGGTAAATATTAGCATTTTCGTGTGTCGATTTGTGTACCATGGCCGCTTTTTGATGAAAAAAAAAAACAAAAAAAAAAAAAACAATCCAGTAAGGCGTTTTTAATGACGACCTCGAGACGTCGTAATGCATTTTTCAGTCATGCCCTCTGGGACGTTGTAAATCTCTATAAGCGGCATATAAGAACGCATGGATCAACTCTGATTCCTCTACACTTTTTCTCGCAGGATTCTCTCTCTCTCTCTCTCTAAAAGAATGATGATACGACAACCGTCTTTTTCTTGTATACCATTTCCTATTCGGTAAAAGCGAAACCTATCATTTTCCACTCTCGCGTGTCATCGCAACTTGGCAAGTTACAAATGACCCCCTAGTTGTCCCCGCACACATCGATAAACATTCTTTCAAATGTTTTGATTCTCTCCTCGCCTCTAGACATCTCTCGATCATTTTCGTGAGAACTGTCATTATAATTACATGTAAAAAAAACAAATTATAATCAATATTTTCTTTTTTTTGTTTCAGGTACGTAAGTCAAGGGAAAAATTTAAAATCGAAACGTAAGTCTCTTTTGATATTTATGTGAGAAAAAAAAGTGGAATGTAAAATTATTTTTTGGGTATGTATATTTGTATAAAAGGCGTCGCGTCAAATTAGTGAAACGTTTTTTTTTTTTTTTTTTTTATGTCTAATAAACATAAACACACCATGTGAGAATGGAAATTTAAACATAATTCTCAAGAGTCCACTCGAGGTATTTCCCATGAATCGAAGATGCATACCTTTATAAATACGCGCGCGAGCCACGTAATCCTGCGTTATATGCGTCGAGGTAGAAAATATAATGGCGCGGACCCCATAGGTACCTCGCATTATGTCCGAAGAAGGTATACCCATTGCACGCATATCCACCCTCCCCATAGGGATCATCTATACATATATATAAATGTATATATGTATTTTATATAAACGTGAATTGTGTATATATATATATATGTGTATACGAAGAGTGAACACAATAGCAAATGGTATTCTATTATTCCAGTTGGACCTTCGTCTATACGCGATCTCCGGGGCCCGTGGAATGCAAGCACGAAATCATTCTCCGATATCTCACCGTTGGTCTCTCTCTCTCTCTCTCTCTCTGCATCATCCACAACCACCGTGACCCCAACCTAACCTGCGCGACCATCGACAGTCATCCCCCTTTGCGCATATATATGGTTCCATCTCCCCATAAGACTGACACGGTCATTCGTCACGTACTGGTCTAATAATCCTCTTTACTTCAACAATTCTCAAGTACAACATTAATTATGGCGTGTGTGTGGCAGTGGTGGATGAACTTCA